AAATACTACCAGTGTTCATTTCGAACTGTTATAATTGCGCAGTACCCTTGTTCTCATTGCGTGCATATATATATATATATATATATATATATATATATATTGGATACACCATGTTTCTTCATTGCGGTTGCCCTACACCGACTTAAACTTAGACTAGATCTTTTTACCCTGGATAATTTGATTTGCTCATTTCTGTTACTCTGCTGCATATTTTGTATCAATTTTGCGCATAGCTTCTCTTTCAAATGCTATCTTGGTTGTTTGACATCCACGGTGTGACTGCGCTTGAACTGAATGTTGACAAGTTGCCTACCTGTTTAACACCATCTAAATTACTGGTTCCACGAGACTGTGAATCATTCCTGGGGGGTAAAGGGTGCACGGTCCTCGTGGCTGTGCTAAGCTCAAAAAGTTGTTACGTTCGGTGTGGAGCGGCTCAGCCACTGCCTTGTGTACGTTTGGCACACATGATCTCCAAATTTGTTAGACAGTAATTCTGCTTCTGTGCATGTTGAAGGAGTGTGAGCCGTCTCCGTTAATTAAACGTGTCTCCCATTCACGTAACTCCCGGTCTTATTCCTTCGGTTTTGCACTGGATCGGGGTCTGTGGATGGAGATGTGGATAGTGCAGCGTAAGCCACGCATGATCCCTCTGTATACGCTGGCGTCCTGTGACTGTCCCTGTGAAGGCCACAGTGACAGGCAAAGCCGAACTGGATGCCGTCAATTACTTGTCAAGTGCGGCCTATACTATATCGCTCCGTTTACGACCGATCCACGACATGTCTCACGTGTGCACCACAATGAAGCTGACGTAGCTTCTTGAATACGGATCCCTGAATCCGTGCTCCGAACGGGGTTACTTATGACTGCAAATATCAACAACCATCTGCATCAGTTCTGACAGCCACAAGTTCCACCAATCTGCGAACTCGTAAATTATGCCCTTGGTGAAATCCGAAATCCAAGTTGCGAAGAGGTCGATAACTCTCGTCAGGCAATACCTTTACAAGGAGGTGTAAATCAACTGAGTGTGCTAGTCAAAGCAGTACTAAGGTTAATAGAGAAAGTGATTTGGACGACTCAATCAATGACAACATCGAGCCACTCAAGGCAGGTCCCGTGATAGCCAATGGGATGAAGATCATTCTCGTTTGCTTTCAGCCTCCGGTGCAGAGGAATTGCCACCCGGCCATAGTAACATGAGGACTTGTACAACAGACCTTTGCTTGCACAATTCTGGCTGTGTCACTCTCATTGCAACCTGCCTCAGTCATCTTCAAGAGTCGCTTTCTAAGACCTTTTGATATAGCTTTGATACAGCGTAGAAGACTGAATGAATCTTCTGTCCGTATCTCATGGTCAGGTTGAAATAGGTGCTCCATGATAGCACTATTTGGATTTCTGACCATTCCTCTTCGTAGGGATCCCGGACAGTGTTCTGCTCTCCGGGACCTGCCTTGAATGGATCGATGTTGCTATTGATTGAGTTGAGTTGTTCCACCCACTTACTTTAATAACCTTAATACTGCTTCCACTAGCAATGGTTGCTGTACACCTTCTAAATCTGCGAACTCTCTGCAGTAGGCTGCGTGGCGCATGCTGTCTCTAGATCGGTTTTTAGTCCACATATATCTGCGGATCCCGAGCGTTCTTCCCTACAATCTGCATTTTACCCACTGTCGTCTGGCTTTCTTGGTATTATATACTACTGATATTATGCGCAGTAGTATCTGCTTTTGGTCTACCACACGCCGACGCCGCCGCTGCTGTCGACCATAAAGCCATGGCCACCATACAGGTTACTGATCTTTAGTTAGATCTATTACGCAGGTCGTTCTCACCAGACATACGACTCTTTCCAGTGACATCATCAAACGGAACTATTCTCTTAGACACCGCTGAGCCCACCGTTCCCAGTCATGCCACTGGGATTTCTGCAGGTTACGTTCAACACGCTGCGGGTTCGGTCTCACCCATGCGTTCGTACATCGGCTAAATTTGTAACCGCACGATTCGTCTGTTGCAGCGTACTTGGCTAGCTGCTCGCCTTCTATGTCAACATGCGAATGTGTGAAAGCACGCGAAAAGCCCATTAAACACATTTGCGATCCGGATGCACGTTTTCATTACGTACACTTGGATCTTGTTGGTCCTCTGCTCCCTTCGAAAGACGGTATACTTATTAACTTAGGTCGACCGATTCACCAGGTGGCCTGAGGCGATTCTCATTCCGAACTGCTCTTTGGGAATAGTAGCAAGAACGTTGCTAGAACGCTTGTCAGCACCGTATGGTTGTTCCCCATTGTGACCACCGACCGAGGGTTGCAATTATCGGCAACTTTTGCTACATTACTTAAGGATTTAGGTTTCGCTGCGTCCGGACCGTGGCGTATCATCTGCCCGCTAACAAAATGGTCGATCGATTCCACTACCGACCGTCTACATACGGTGCGAAAACCTTCCCTTCATCCTTCTAGTTTAGTTGAACATTGTTAAGTTCCACTTCAACACAATGCCACCGGTAAATTTTTGAAATCATCTCTGGACTGAAAGCAATCACAGTTGTAGTAATTCAATATAGTAGTCTTGAACTTTTTCTTATTTTCTATGTATACAACGTGTTTTTGAGAAAGATATGATAACGCCTCTCTGTTTGCTGATGAGATAAAAGTTGTCCAGTCACAAAGAAGTACCAACACTAAGCAAACCGTACGCTTCAATCAGCATGATCTATCTGCTCCTACAACCTGGTGCCACCTATGCCAGATGTCACTTACCGTGGACAAGTGTAATATCCTGTCGTACAAAACAGTTTGTAGGATGATCTGTTCTCTGAGCTGGGCAATAATTACACAAACGTTTTGTCACCAGTCGAGATGACATCATCAATCCGTTAGTGCGTAGCGTGGTGTAGTATAGCGATGCGTAACTGTGGACCGGGTAGTCAAGCGCGTGCGTTTTTAAAAGTCATCATCATCGGTCGTTTGGGCATATCATTTTTGAAAATGGTCTGTTCGACCCATGCCTTGTGATCATAGCCCGTTTGTCTTTGCAGCTGATAATGCTGCCTGAACTGTTTGTATGGTGTCCTTTTCCATCAAAATCATTTGATTGCGCTGGTGGTCTCATGCTCGTAGATTTGGATAGATATCGTCCAACTCAACGTGTCGATTGTTTGAATTCTTCCTGGAGTGCCATGCCGTCGAACACACTGTTGATTAGCCCATGTGTCTTCTCTAATTTAGTGCGTTTGAGTATGACGAAGGTGTCGTCTACGTAGCACACCCAAAGTTTCGGTTTCGCAATTAGGAGTTCTATCCGTTCTATCGCCTGCATTACTGCTTCGCTCACCAGTCTATAGATCGGCGATCCTTCTTGTCTGCTGGTAGATTTGACCGTTAAAGGTGAAACGTGTTAGACGGAATCTCAGCAACACCATTTGTCTGGCGTCGATTTTATTACTTGTGTCTGACGCTGCATGTTCCTCTAGTAGAGCAACCGTTGTGTGTTTTGCCAACATGACGTCAATCGATGTGAAGGGCGTCGTCACATCAAAGGAGACCATTATTTCATCTTGTACTCTACAAGCTACTGTCGAGGCTCTGACAAATACTACATAGGACAAACAGGAAGGAAGCTTGGCGCACGGCTACATGAACATAGCCTAGCAATCCGCCTCCATGATCAGAATTCTTTGATGTCCATGCATATGGATGCCGAAGGCCATCAGTTCGACCTAGAGCACGCCGAAATACTCGGAAGAGGCACTAGCCAGTAAGCACGTGAGTTTACTGAAGCCTGGTATTCAAATCAGAATTCGATCAGTGAGCACATAAATCTTGAAGTCACTTACGAGGCTCTGCGAAACAGGACTTTGAACTGCACTGACGATGTTCCCTAGTCTGGCAGCGAAGCGTTTGCAATATAATCATTCAGCTCGGAGAGCAGTGCAGTACCCACATCCACATTCCCAACTACGGATATTCTCAACCAATTCAAATTTCTCATTCTTTCTCAGTTTCAGTGTACTGCAGTGTGTCTCCGCTCTCTTGAATAGAGCTTAATTACCCATCGTTATGCTACACTACGCTGCGCACTGATGATGTCACCACAACTGGGGACGAAACGTTTGCAAAATAATTGCTCATCTCAGAGAACAGTTCATCTAGCAATTGAGGAACCTGGGCTACGTGCCTTTACTTCCAATACAAAATAGATTCTTAACTGCGAGTCACATGCATCTCTCATTGCAGGAAATTCGCGAACTGAATGTGACTTTCAAGTTTTAAAGCTATACAAACCATCGTATATCTATCACCACTTTTAACTTAACGCATCTGGAATCTGGTTGTGCGATTCTTAGCCAACGACCGTTACCTGCCTTGTGCTTGGTTTGAGAGTTTGTAGCTTATGGCTCGCAGTCGGCCCCAGCGGCGCACTTACTGTCTTCTCTTAGTGGGATTGCCCACTTGAATTGCGTCTGATGCTGAGTTATCTATGTGCTCGGCTTATTGTGGCACGGGGCAGCGAAAGCCTTAAGGAAAGTGTTCCGTTAATACCGTCTTCGCACGATAGCATACTGTATGTGGCCGTGTAGTTGACAACGTGTAGACAGCTTGTCTTTTTATGCTTACTTGAGGTGTTTAGATTTTGCATCAGGCTCCCTTCTTTTCTTCTAATTGTTTCAGGGCGCCTAGATCATTATAATTGTACGGCGATAAAACATCCGTTAATACTACTGATACACTGCTATTTTTGTTTATAATAGTGATGGATTGGGTAATTTCTATCAGTGGCTACTGACACAATGCCACTGGTCCTCTGCGACTGATGATGCATCAATCAGTCTAACTGTGCTGTCCTTGCGCCTACGTTATAACTGATAGTGAAGGCTTCATCTAGGTTAACCAACGTTATTGTTGCTCATTATAGTTGTGTTACATATGTTCACTTGCAAATGTTGGCTTATATTTGCTGCTAACTCGTTTCTTTTTAAGACACCACCAACGCGAATATGAAGTCCGATCTCTCAGTTCCTTACATTATTATTACTGAGGAGGTGTTCGAAGCGGAACGAAAACGTGGCGAGTTCATCGAATGGGGTGTCTTTAATCGCGCCCATTACGGTACTAGCCGTTCCACACTGCGCCAACTGTATGAGGTGGGAAAAGTTTGCTGCATCACCCTTCGTCCTGATGTGAGTTCTTTCAACATTTTCCTTTGACCTTGGTCTCTGCTCGAAGCAGGTTTTTTGAGGTCTATTCATGTTCGTCACGTTTCGGCACCTTGAAACCTTTTATTCGTCTGGCATTTTTGGACCGCATATTCGACTTTCCATAACAGAGCTCCAACTTGCTCCAGATCAGCACGAACACTGTGCCCAACCTGGGGAAGCGGATTCTTCTCCCATCCCCTCTCAGATGTTTCCCGTTTCGCTGTGGATTAATCTACCGAAATATTGTGTCGAAGCGATATGCCTATAACAAAAGCACGCTTTGTAAACGTAAACCCTGGGGGAAGGGGAGAATCATCTGCCCTCCATCCATAGCCAGTTATTCCACCTCCTCTTTCCAAGTTAATCAACAGATTCGAGCTGCACTACTTGTGCACCTGAATGTCTTAAATAAATAAATTCATACAGACCGACAAGCGGTATACCTCCATAAAAGCGGGAGCGTCCATTTGTACACAGCAGTTGCGTCCTGGTTTATGCGGTTTAAAACATGATAGTAAAAGTTAAAGATTTAAACTAGAATTACGGATCATAATATTCCCTGAAATGATCGACCCGATCATTTTTTGTTTTTTATTGCCTCAACCAAAATGGATCATTTCGGAGGTGGTTTCAATGGTCATAGTTACTCAAAATTGAGCAGCGCGCCATGGCCAGCTTGCTAAATCATCTTCGGACATTTTCCAAAGTTGTTCTGTCTTACTTCGCTGTGAGTGATAGTACAATATCCCGGACTAGGATTGTTTTGAATCACTCCAGTCGTGTTTCAGGAAGAGAAAAGGTTCTAGTGATGTAACCGGATTCGTGTCTGCCTTTTGCAGCTTGGTAACATATATGTGCCCAACTGAATCAGAAGTTATGATCACGTTACCGTCAAGTATGATAGAGCCTTCCGGGATGCGACATATTTACCCAAATACTTTGGATTTTTTGTGGAAAATTTCATTAGCAGATGTCACTAGACACATTCAGTGCGAGTAGGTTTTCGCGTATGCTTCCCAGACACTCTTGTAGTTGGTCTGGTTGAAATGAATAGACTAGTTTGACGTCGTCTGCAAACGGAAATGAGCGCGTTTGATGGGGTCGCATATATTGTTTATGCAGATTAGGAAAAGTGATGATCCCAGCACACTTCTCTGGAAGACACCATTGGTTATTCGTTTTGGCGTATTGTTGACCTATGCTAGCTTTTTGAGTTCGATCGTTTAGCTATGGATCGAACCAGCTTAACAGAGGGTTTCCTATGTCATATGACTCTAACACCGACAACAGTGGCCTATGTGACACATGGTCGGACGCCTTTTACCTGCCAGGAGAATTATGATGATTGCCCTTCCTTTGTCAATCACAGTCGTAAAATGCTCGAAAAATTGCAGCTGGCGGATTATGCAGGAGCACTTTAAGAGAAAGCCATGTTGTGAGGAACTGACCAGGTCCAGTCTTTAAAAAATTGGACAATATTCCTCTTGACTATTCTTTTCAGGACTTTAAAAGCAAGATGTGTGATTTCTTGGGCGGTAACTTGACATTTCATTTCGCGGGCCACCTTTGTACCTAGGCATTGTGATGGGTTTCATCCTCAGAGATGTGAAACAGCCGGTAGTTAGGGAAAGAGTGAAGATATTTCTTAATAATAGAGAACTATTTTTCCACTGAGCCTTATGATAGTTGGAGGGATGCCATCTGAGTTGATGGTCTAATGGTCCCGATGACGTTCTGCACCTCTTTCAATGTCACAGGAATATTGAAGAGTAGCTCGTTTGTTCTTCTTGTGGGTGGAGGGGATGAGACACCTGAGCGTCAAGAACAAAAGAGGAGACGAAGCTGGAGTTGATCGGCTCGCATACACAAGAGATGTCGCGCGTTAATGAACCATCGCCTAACTTCAGCATTTCAGTTTCACGATGAGATTTAGGCTTCCTTCTTTTGAATAGCTGAATCAATGTGCATATCTGTACAGGGTTTCTAAGTGCTCGACTTTATTGATTTTGGCCACCTAGGTTAAACGTAGTATTTGCTCTAGAGCCTCATGTATCAGTAGTAATGTCGCGAAGCTGCTGCCCCTGCGATATAAGTTTCTTTAGTTTAGTTACGGCCTTGTTGAGAGGTTTGCGTTGACCATTATTTTTGTTGGTTTACTCCATACGACAGGTGCCAGCACATCCATATGTGGAAATAAAGGTTACAGTTTACACGTAATCTTTCAAAATTTACATCCTTTCGAAGTGCGAGATGTAGTCTGTGCTGCCTCTCACACTTCGCCTTACTGGAGGAATGCACACGGTTTCTTAAACGCGGGTGCGACTTATCTTCTACTACGCGTCTCTACTTCCGGCCTCAGTGGCTGTATGTTTTCACATTCGGTGACATCGAATCACTGGCTTAGGTTGTTCACGGTCTCGGTATTCCACTTAACTAAAGACTAAAATTAGTTTACTTAACTATATCCCGGTGGGTAGCCGTTTACGGTCAGCTCGACTGATGATCAGCATAATTAGTCCACAGCTTTGGGAGACGCGGTGCATTTTTCTTTTTACAAACCTCACAACGATTACGGCTCGGGGACCTTCATAGATATTTTCGCTTACCTTTATCTACATAACTAGGACTACGGACACTGTAGTAATTTCAACTGGCAAGAACGCCTAACCAGTCCGCTATCATGGGACGACTAATTTCCCGAATGTCATTCAGGGGTTGACATCTGTTTAGGAATCCGTTTATAAATATATGCTGCTTATAACTGTAATACGCACAGTACGGTCTTACAGTACAATTCGCATCTGTTGGTGCCCGCTGATGGAATCGTTACCTGGACCCAGTCTGAACACATCGCCACGAATCACAAATAAGGCAGCTGAGCGTAGCGTTACTGGCTGGCTCACCAGCCTCGTGCTCATCCATAAATCACTCGTTCCGCCGGTCTCAGCGCTGTTCTCATCATTTCCAGTTGGCCATGGGAATGGTAATGAGAACCTCGTGTATATTTCATCCGAATATCGGTCGGATCCTTGTGGGGTGTGTCTTAGCAGGCTTTCAGCCTTACCCTATGATCTAACGATGCGAAACGTTGAGCATTTTACGCTTTGCCGCTTGCTCGAAACGCTACACACGCGGACGGCCTACCGTTGTCGTCCTCCTTGATTTCTAATTCTGACCGTTATAGTTTATCATGTTTCTAGAGATACCGCGTCCTCACGTAATCAATCTAGGTTGGGGATGCATCAAAGCTCCTTTTTCACTCTACATCCTTCATGGCGAATAAGGACATCAGGGCTTGTCTTTCCCTCCGTTTCTCGTCTAAATTGTGTACAGATAGATTATGTAAGACCATGACATTCATTTCCCGTGTAGATGTTCGGCCAGCAGCTATTTATTGAGAGCTGGCTAGCTAGTGTTGTGGTTCGAATTGATTGGTGAAATGTAGTCTTGTTCATCAAACCGCTCGTCATTGGAACACAAGACATGCGCACAACTTACTGACATTCCTCCAACTTCCACGTAGGTTATGGTGGCAGTTTCATCTGAAATGCTTCAACCATTCATTTACGCATTATCTGATTGCTCGAACTATTCCACCGATGCCTTCGAGCCCGCTCCTCTATGTACGACCACTGCGTAAATTTCAGTGCATACATTATTTCGGTAATTTGCTTGACATGAAGTGAACAGGCAGAGGATAGAAACTTATTCCCACGGGGTTCCGCTTTATCACCAAGATACATTGCTTTTCATCACTGCTTTCTCATTCTTTACCACTGCCAGTGGATTCGATAGGCGAATCTATGACATTACTGATGGAATCAAGGATCTTTGGCAGGATCTCTAAGTTATGTTTCTGTGGTGAAAGCAAATATGCCTTCCCTAATCAAACGAGTCAGTTACCGTGTTTTCTCAACTGCTGACCAGAGATGATCCTCCTAACAACGAAGTCGGTGAGATGTGCTCACCCTCTTTTCTACCCACTATTCACAGATACGCAGCAACAGTTCAGTATAGTCGCGGACTTCACAACTATTGTTTTTTGGGACTGGAGGGAAATTTCATTGAAGTCAATAACTGGGGTCGACGGACTGTGGAATGGACGATTAACCTATTGACTTTAGGAAGGAGTTGTGACCCCGATGTTTGATAATACTATTAGCCGGAATCTGTAGCATATGGGGAGACAACGGTTAGAACGACTGTGCCACAAAGCTCCATAGCAGCAAAGCGAAGGGGCATGACTATGAAAGAGTGTGGCAGGAAACTTGTGCTTCTTTGGTATGTCACGGGATATGTAACAACAGTGGTTGCTAGATCGGGCAAATGAGATGAGCGTCAACCAAGAGCATAACTAACCAATGGAGTACTGTTTGTCGTTGCAACAAATTGTCGATGTGTCCTAACTACGAGTTAGCTAGACTACAGGTGATTGACTCAGTTGTTTGATAGATGGTTGCAGACTTTTCTAATTAAAGAGGAAGCGAATTGCATTCAACTGCATACGAACAAACAGATAACTCCATTCTCTGTTAATGGAATGTAAGTTTTCATGGGCGAACAACGGTTAACGAATATAACTGAGGTGCGATGAACTGCTTTCAAATTATCTGTAGTATTATTGACTTGACTTGACTGAGATAAAACTTGATCACAATCCCATTTTTTCCGGTTTCCGGGGCCGACGGTTCACGCAAACCCCTTTTTTCGTTTCTCCTGCGAAATTTCTTCTTAACAGACGTTTTACTCATATACATGGAATTAAGTAGCGAAGGCTGTCAATCCATTGTTTTAATAGTACCTAATCGCTCTTGGCTGGTGCATCCAAGAACGCAACAGGTTATATTGAGCCTTCCTGTGACCCAACCTGTGCGTCAACATGAACTCGTGTCGCACCATTTCGAAGGTGATAGGCTCTGCTTATCCAAATTTTCAACTTGCCTGATCCTTGAAAAGTGTATTGGTGAATGCCACAGTGGTAGTTTTCTTAATAATTTTTCGTGATTCGAGATCTTCGTCTGCGACTTCTTGCCAGCAAATGGTACCTTTCTTTCGAAGTGTTATTGGCGGACATCGAAGGCATCTTGCACAGGTTATATCAGGTAATCCTGAAGTTTTCTCTCTGTTTCCTTCAACCCGGTCCCCATGTAAAATTTGATTCCCCGGAATTCGACCTATCCATTTTGCACATTCACTAATCCTCATCCTCTTTATCTCGTTTTTATCTAACTGCATCGATATAGCCCCTTGCTATTTTTTAATCCTCCATCGCAGTCTCTCCGTTTGATGCGAGCCAGTGGATTGTTTCCGTTTGTCATCTTCATTTCACCTCCGGAGCGGGTGGACGAGCTTCGTCGCGTTCAGAGTCTACTGGGTATTAAAGCTGTTTGCACAGTGAGTCTTCTCTTACTGTTTTCTCTCTTCATCGTCGTACCACCTTGTCCCGAACTAGTTTTCCTCTCATTTTGCTCTTTTCAGGACTTCGAGCTCAAATCGTGCATCGAGACTAGTCGCAAGATGGAAGTGCGCTATGGACACTGGTTTGATATGGTGATTGTGCCCGAGTCTCTGAGTTCCACTGTCGATGAACTAATTGCCGTTGCTACGCGTTTGGAGCGTGAGCCGTCATGGGTGCCTCGATACTGGCTGTGACTGAATTTCTTTACATCCTGTTTCCCTGCCGTACCCGTGATCGTTATCATATCATTTTGTATCCCTTAATAATGCACATTTTTCCTCACTTCGTCCGTTTGTGATGTTCCAGTTTCCACACGTCTCATTTTCCATTTTTTCGATTTTTGCTTTTTTCATCAAAGGCGTTTCCATTGGTTTTGGGCTGCTACTTTTATTGTTGCTATTTGATTTTGTCCGTTTCTCCTCACATTCATCATGCCTTCACAGAAGTACATCTACAATTCGAGCACCAATACACAATGTGCTCAATCTCCACGACCTCACAGTAATAAAATGGATCATTGGCAGTAATTTAGGGGAGATGAGACCGTTAAATAGGTTCAGAAGTTCAAGAGAAAAATGCAGACTTAACCATCTCAGTCTTGGCATACCGGCATGTTCTATCCCTTATGCATCGTCCATGACTTGTCCGATTGAGCCTTTTGACCGGTTTCTTCCAACCTTTTCGCTGCGTAGATGTCTGTTCACTTCGAGACTTTACCTAATAAGGCGTCATAATAAGAGTCAACATATACCTACGTAGCATCCCGAGGTGTGCTGTGTTCTTCTCCCTAACTTGTCGACCTATGCACATCTACCCTGGCGATCTTACCATTAGGAGTTGTGATACACCAACACGAGTGGTCAGAGCAAACAAGTCTCCTAATTCCCTCATCACTCGGTGACTTATACAATGGAAGAGCTTCAAATAATACGCTAGTCCAACTCCACTCCGCCGATCCTGCTCCCGAAAATCACCATGGACTTTACCGATCCACATACCATCGTTTGGTAAAGTTGACTACCACAGCTTCTTAGGCAATAGTTAAAAGGTTGATTCGGCTTTATAAGCGACAATCCGCTCGCCTAGCGACCGTCCATACATGCACGAGTGACTATGTTTCTAATTCCCTTTGCGCTACTCTGTGGTATGGTCAATTAAGTAAACTATGATTTTTAGGTTGAGAAAGATGACTATGATACTTCTAACTGGAGATGGTGACACGCAATCTCAGTGCGGACCACGATTCAATCTGAATGGGAGTGTTATAAGCCAAGATAAGCTTTATGCATCCGGGATATGTACATTTTCAGCATTTTACATTTTCTACTACAAATGTGACAAAAAAAGCATCAGCAAATATGAGAATTGTGCGAGTGTGAAGAGAGATAGGAAAAAGAGTGCAGATGTCCGTTGGATAAATAGTCCCACATCTTTAAGCAGCTATCGCATATTGATAGAAAAAACTAGGTTTCTTGATCCGATTGACAAGGCAAACTTTTGTCAAAATCTTTCTTGTAACCTCGTTCCATTTGGATGAAATTAGCAAACAGCGAGTTATGCCTAGTGTTTCGGATAAGTTTTTAGAGGATCGGCGGCCTCACTGACCTTGAAGTTATCAGCCAAAGAACCCGTCAAATGTTCATACAAAATGGATACGTTCGCAGTAGATAATGCAGAAATCGATTTTTCCGAGAGAGTGGCAACGGCCAGTTCAAAGGCCCGCCTATGTGAAGCAAACCAAGTGATGACCGTATATCATAATGTTACGAGGTGACCCTAAAAGTGTTCTCCGCAAAATCGAGTGGCGGACACGTTTTCTGGAGGTAATGTCTGAATCGCGAGCATGCGTGACAAGGCATCTTTGTGAACAGATGGTTTTCTATGTTGTAAAGAATTACGGTCCTGTTGTTCATTTGGCTGATTTTAAGCGGTTTATGCCAGTAATGGAAATGCTACTTCATCGTCCTGTGCTGTCATGGTACACTATATGCTGTGCTTGAAAAATGCAATCCTAGTTCCGAAAACACCGTGACGCTCCTTCCAAAGTGTACGATGTCGTGTATCATATCTTTTGCCATTTCTGCGCAGTGAAACATCCTTGCAAGAATTTGAGTACTCGTAGCACATAGGAAGACGGTCGTAATGTTAGCCATGATCGTTTATCGTTGCAATTTAGGGCTGGAGAGCAGACGTCTAAATAAATGTACGCCACTTGGTTGGCAAAGTCTCGTCATCGTTTAGACGGTGATAAATTCCGCGCAGGCGTTACCGCGTGATTAGCCTGGATAACCTAATCACCTACACAGCGCGTGGGAACGACCCTAGGCGAACTTATCATCTGAGAGCGTCCAACAAAAAGGATGTCTATAACAAATTGGCGACGGAGTCTTCGAACCATGATATACGAACGTTTATTTAAAGCAAATGCCACAGCAACAGCCCATTTTGATGTCCGTAGTAACCGATAAACTGTCAAGCTATTCTACTTAGTCAGGTTTCGTTGGTAGTTCTCAATCAGTAGCAATGCCTGTGTAACCTTTGATTCTTGGGACAAGCAATACGAAAACCATGATTATGCGTGTATGCTCTAGCTGCTTTGTAAATCGAGAAGTTGCAGACAAGTACTACCAAAGAGGTCCCGAGATCTTATTTATCGCGAGGCGGTTAGGACCATGTTGCAGATCTTGGCGGACATTCCTCACTGCTCAGCTCCGGCTTCCCATGCCTCTACCCGGCCAAGATTGATGCAAATGACTTCAATACTTACGCGGACATCGGGAATGCGAAGGATTCTAGCTCGGCTCCCTCACAGAAGGCTAGTTCAGATGCCTGATTGTCATCTCTGGCCTCCAGTCCATCCAAGATGCCGACATCCGAAAGCACCTCCTACCCAAGATGCAGCCGTAGGGCACAGTTACGCTCCAGAAGTATCAGGTGCTAATAAACCTCAAACTCGTTTCTGTGATGACCCATAACATCTCCACACCTTGTTTCGTCCAGGCAGTCGCAGCACGAAAGCCGTAATCTTCCACGCGGCTCACCCAAAGCGACCGAACTGGGTCCCCCACGCTCTCCGTGTCGAATTTGTGGTGTCGGGTATTTCCATTGAAACAGCAACTTCCGCCAGCAACGATGTGGCCGGGTGGTGTACTAACGTGATTACTTACACAATAAAATTTTCATATCGATAGTCGTCTGCACACTACCTATCCTCCTGTGTGCGTGCTCAGGCGTGTATAAAACTTCAACAGCTTTCTGCGCTTGTCGTCCAACTCGTATTCTACGTTGGGATTCTGATGCGAGCAATCCGATTCATAACGAGTATTTTCATTGTGTGAACCTTTCTCACCCACACATTTGTCCACTCCGGACGCTTGAAGACAAAACATGCGCGTCGTCTGTGTGTGTTTTCATGTGCAACTTTCCCCTGCTCTTGAATGACGTCATCATCATCACCATACACGTTAGCTAGTGGGGAACACAGCTACTGTGCCGCAATACACAGAAAAAGGGGAGAGAAAAGGAATTCCACTGGTGCAAGCCGGCTGAGCAACCGGTAACGGATGGGCATCGTTTCGGTAAGCTACCAGCCGGCTACTATGCATCAAAAAAATTACCATGCAAAATTATATAAGGTTAGATAATGAGATCGTGGTTGGGTTGGGGGAGGCTAAGAGGGATGGGGTGAGACAAAGAAACTCACAGCACGAACGCCACTGAGGTCGGCTCCTAGCCATATCAACAAGTGTGTACAACCAAACGTGTTCATCATCTTTCGGACCCCAACCAGGCAGCCGAGACGCTCCAACCGAGGCCAGCTCAGAAGTGAGGGCCTTCATTCCTCTCGACCAAGTCATCGCTTGGCCACCCCTCCTCTTCTTCCGTCCACACCCCCGGCGCGCAAACAACGCACGTCGCGGGAGTCGGTGGGCTGGCATGCGTAACACGTGGCCGAGCCATCGGAGCCTGGTGCGTGAAATAACGGTGCTGAGCGGTTCATTTCCTTTTCCTGTGCAATAAACAAGGCGTCGAACACGCTCGTTCCTCACGCGGTGTTCCCACCAGATGTGAGCTAAATTACGAAGGCACCGGTGGTCGTATGTAACTAGCCTCTTCAGGTCCGCTTTTTTAAGCGGGCAGGTTTCACAACCGTACAGTATGGTCGAACGTACTGCTGCATTGTACACTCTACCCTTCAGGGCGAGAGTGATGTCGCGCCGGCTTCATAAGTGGCGAAGGTTAGCAAAAGCGCCCAAAGCTTTTGCTATACGGTCCGTGATCTCATCTTCAATCCCACGGGCGCTGATACAACTTCCCAGGTAGTTGAATTTTTGAACGACTTCTAGCTGATCCCCACCAACGGTCAGCGTAGGAGGCTGTCCAGACCAATCTTGGAGGAACACTTTGCACTTCGAGGGTGCAAAGTGACGGACAGCTAGTGCTAATCTGTCCAGTGCCGTTTGGCACATTTGTGAGCTGACGTAGTTAC